GCATCGCACTCAGTTGGTCCAAGAGATTTTTGGTTTAGGTTCAAAACATTTTACCTGTTCCTGCAACCTGCTTCCAAGCCTCCAACCAAAAACGGAAAGGTCTGGATAATGTTGCACTTGATCTTACAGGGATAATATTCAGACTCTGGGTTTTCACCACATGCCTGCAACCACATCCATCTGAGCATTTCTCATCTCAATATAAACTATAGTTTTTTTGTCTTTGTGGACACAAAGTACATCAATTCTTCATGCTCATACATTGCAGCTCCGAAGCACAAAGATGTGCCCCTTTCCCAGGTCTAAGGGGGTGTTGTCAAAACCTGCTAATGTGCATGTGGCAAACATGGGAGCACATCAAAGCCTTGGCCTTGTTTTTTCTTTTTTGGCTGTCAGCGCTTTGAGAGAGCAAACTGAGGCACAAGGCCCTGAGTGTGAGGGCTGTTTGTCTTGACTTGACCTTGGTGTGTCTGCATGTGTGTGTGCACGAGTGCATGTGTGTGCACGCATCTGTGTGGCGCACCACATCAAAGAACGATGGAGTGGCTCAGTTGTTATGACCTCTGACCCTGGCATGCTCCGAGAAAGAGGGAGGGTAGAGGAGGTGGAAGGGAAAAAAAAAGACACAGTTAAACATGCTCACGCACACAAGGAAAAAGGGTGGGATTACTAAATGCGCAACAGCTAGAAAAACAACCACAGACAGAGACCTAGCAATTTGTCTTGTTAACTTTTATTGGGACCTGTGAGCTGGGGCAAGTAAATCCTTATATGCTCACACACTAAAATGGTCACACTCACACATCCATGCATGACTGCATACTGTTCTGAAGTGCATCCCATCCTCCATCCCGTTGAACCTATATGAATTTGTATTTCACTGTCCTTCACTCAATCCAATGAGAATGTTTAAAACGATTTTCATTTGACTTTGGTATGAATGAACGCGGAGTACAGAGTTTCTTGTCCCTTGGATGAGAACTTTATCTCTCTGCTTTTTCATCATTTGTGCATGAAATTAAGTCTTCAAAGGTGATCTAGCCTCTACATCTTTCATGCATTTATTTTTAGCCTCTGGCGGATATAACCTAAATCCTTGACAAAACATCAAACACTGGCTTAGCATGTGTATGCATGGCGTATGAGTCACTGGATCAGTGTATGTGTGAGTGTGTTTTAACATGTTTTTCCAACCTGCAGTAAATGAGTCATTCACTTTGTGCGTAACTGTAGACGCACATGTCTATACGTGTGTATTTCCTCTGTGTGTGTGTGTGTGTGTGTGTGTGCGCGCTCGTGCAAGTTTGTGTCACAGCTGCAATAACTTACAGCTCCTTGCATTTCAGCTATTCTGTCACGGTCCATTTTAATGGTCCTTCTACACACATAAACTAATGAAAACAATTCTACATACTGCTCATTTGAAAACAAGAACATCCCTTCTAATGACGGCTGCGGAGAACTGTGGTATAAACTTTGTGGCTGATTACTGTTCTGCGCTGTCAGCAACTGCTACAAACTAGAGACCATCTTGCGATGGGATCACATCAGCCCCGCTGTCGGCTGCTAGAGGTGACGTCTTCTGCAGGTGCTGACAGCACGAATCTTTCTACAAGTGCAGGCATGTGTGTGAGCTAGGCATTCTGTGTGATTGTACTCCATATATGCTCACGCACATATATGACTTTGTGTTTGCCTCCCTTTGTGCGTATATAAAACGACCCTTGACAGCCATTGGGGGCAGCGGTGGTGCGGCCGGTGTGTTTGCCTTGGCAGCGATTCAGCATTCCACATTCCTCTGTGATATTCAGTACTGTGACCTCAGGAAACCCACCCTGCAGAGAAGCTTGCTCTCTCTCTCTCTCTCTCACATTCCCCCTCTCTTTGCAGCCTCTCTCTTCCTCTTGCCACCTCCCCAATTCTCTCTGTTTTTGTCCTTTCCGCCCTCTCTCTCTCTACCACTCCGCCCTCTTTTCATATCTGAGCTTGGGAAATCATGCGTCACCCCCACCCCCCAAAACCCTCATTTTATTTTCCCTCCTTGAGTTTCGAAAACTTTCTCCACAACGTTACTGACAGAGGTCCCCTGACGAGGCACCTTTCTCAGTACTCCCAGTCTGAACACACATCTTGTTGCTATCATGAAAAAGTCACAACACTGTCCTGGTCACTTAATGTATCACTCAGATGCATATTTTTCCTTTATTAGGAACTCCCTCTGCATTCACAGTACAGCAGTCTGGACAGGAGTTACTCCCTCCATATCCTTCCCTCCCCTTAATTCCAAGCCATTAAATTCTACATCTAGGCTCTTCGTATGTATAACAAAAAAAACCCCGAACTGATTAGAAAACTGTATCTGTGCTATTCTTTCATGAGACTGGCTGTTCTTCTGATCTCCTTTCCTATCACAAACTTTTTTTTGTGCCTATCGCATGTCTCAACAAACTCCTCCTCTGACTCCTCCCTCTTTTCTTTTAGACATGCCCACGTGCCCAGAGACATTTCACCTGAGATGACCCTACGCCCGGGGCAAGGCGGTTCCTCCTCCCTCTCTGCATGCCTCCCTCCTTCCTCTCCCTCTTAGCTTGGGCTGTAAACTACTAGACATACTTAAAACACATGGCCACCACACCTGCCACCATAAGGTAACAGGATGAGACAAAGACAAAGAAGAAATGGAAGTATGCTGAGCCATTTACAGTAAAGAAATACCACTATCAACAGGCTATAGAGGCACAAAGTCACCTAGTAGTTAAAAGTAAAACTTATTTTAAGGCTGCAAATTTAAATAACGCCAGACAGTAAAAGACTAACAGATAAACACTAATCCTGAAGAAAGCTATTATAAAGTTAAACTGATACAAAAATCAAAGATAAACAAAAGTTCAGTGAAGCACCACATTTTTATTGTTTAAACTTTAGCGCAAGTTAAAATCCAACAGAAGCTGTGAAAGGCTAATCATTGCAGACATTCCCCATGTTACACTGTAGCTATCCATTGAGTGTGGCGTGTGTGCGGTGTGGCTGACCTACATACAGCAGAGTGGAGAGGAGCAGGGGTGAACTGAGGTAAAAGGGTGGAGCAGGCAGCCAACTACCTTATCTCCCAGTATCTCTGACACTTTCTTCAGTCTCAAGTGTACCTTAATATGGCCTGATGTGTAGCAACAACCTTTGTCATAAAAAGTAATCACGTCAGTGAAAGGCTAAGAGGAAGCAAAATAGACAGAAAGGCCAACCAACTTCCATTAATATATTATACACTTGTGTATGTATTTATGGAGGAATGAAGGCAAAGCACAAGCGCATAAATTTATGAAGTTAACAATGTTTTATGAGTGTCTGCAGGTGTGCGCATATATTAAAGCATTACTAAGTAAGTCGGGGGTTTCTGAAAGTTTTAAAACTTTGCATGAACGCAGTTAACAGAGAGGACCAGGGACACGTGCATGTCCATATGTGTGTTTGTGGGTGAATGTGTGTGTGTGTTGGAGTGACTGTGAATAGGTACATGTGTGCCTGTGTGTTTGCAAGACCATGAACGTGCGTATGTGTGTGTTTCGGATTAAGAGCTTCACCCCTGGACCTCGAAATTAGATAGGGGATTAGTGGGACACATCCGCCACCTGGCATTTTAAGCCCCACAATTACAACAACAACTTTTAATCAAAAACAGCCACATATGTGTTACATACAGTCAGAACTCAGCAACTTGCATATTTTTCTCCTTGTGTTAAAATCTCTTGGGCTGTCATTGAACTGACCCTGCCATAACAACAGGCCACATGGAGGGCAGCTGAATGCTACAGTTTTTAGTCTGATCATGACCCATTGTATTAATAGGGATCAGCCTAGATTGGGACTTGTTAGCACTGCACACTATGCAAGGATTTAGCATTCAAAGTGACTTTTACTTGGCACAAGGCACGGAGAAAAGATGTGAAGCAACTGCTGCTAGGCCAGGAGGTAGCTTCCCATTATCACCTGTGCAAGGTATTCACGAACCAAAGATCATGGCTGTATGCTAGGGTTTACTAATAATGTGATACTCCACTGAACTCCTTTAAAAATTCTTTACTCCTGTTGCAGTGCTCAGAGGGGTCAAAGATTGGGGTTGGTTACAGAGTAACACCTCTGGAGCTGCTGGGTATTCAGTGTCTTGTTCAAGGCCATTTTAACAGGCTGGGTGATTGCTGGGCACCAGAGCTTTAATCTAACTTACTAAGCCACACCACTGTTATTCAAACGCATGGTGACAATACAGCTAAAGGCAAGCCTCGACGGTGACATGCTGTCAAATACTTTAATCATTAAATAAATTAAAAATAACCGTGATCTTGCACCAACATCAACATATGCATGCTTAACATGTATGAACTGTTTTAAACTCACATCCATAGCCTTCGAGGCTCTAATTGTTCCAAGGATGTTAGACTAGTAAAGAGCAGTGGTTTTTACTCTGTATAGACACATTATGTCATAGAATTAAAAAGCAGGAAGGGCCACGAAACCCTTGAAAACTCTGCTCCAGTTCATGGCCAGCGCACAGTGGGGAGGAAGACACAGCGGGTTAGCAATCAAGCTAAACACAAACAGCAACCAGGCACCATGAAAGGAAAAGAAATCATGTCATTTTTTCCATGTACACCTCCAGTTAAACATGTTAATACACATATACAAAAGTTTCTCTGTGTTTAAGAGACAAATTAGACCCACTAAGTGAAAGAGAGTGTGGAAAGAAAAAATGAGCCTGTATACCAAGATGTGTTGCCAATATGCCAACAACCAAGAGCACCACGTGAATAATATGGTAAGGTAAAATATACTTTCCAATCTTCACTACATAAACTAAAAATGTACTCTTGATTTTGAGTAAGTGTAATTCAGAGAGCAATGAAGAAAAAACAAAACTACATGAAGCCAACGCGAAGAGTAAGCCAAAATAAAAAGTCTAATCAAATGAAAACAAAGGAGGGAGCAAAGAGAAGGAAGCAGGGTTCTGCATTTTTTCTTTATTAACAAGCTGAGTTTCCATCCAAAATCTCAGATAGCAATCAACTACAAATTAGGACCAGATTTCTTTAATTGACCATCATGTCGCCTTAAAAGATGGAGTGCCATCTTGATTTACCACTACTTTCTAAGAAGGTGACAGGAAAAAAGGGAAACTGGGGAAAGGAGAAACATGAGACAGAAGAGATTAAGGAAACTGAATAATTTGCCTGAAAGAAAAAAATGAACAGACAATGCTAAAACAGAGAACTTGAGATGGAAACAGCGAGAGACAGAGGGAATAGGAGAGAGGGGTGTAATTGCAGGAAAAAGGGGCTCATTAGCCCGTCACTATCCTCAATCTAACCCTCAATTTAAGGTCAGGGAAGAGAAAGAGAGAAAGAGACTACAGAAAATGAGAGAATCAGAAAAGGAAGGAGGAATTTAACAATAATTCATCTGCAGTTTATACAGTGTTAAATGATTCACTCTCAAACTTTTCTTTCTCTGTTAAACTTTCTACCTCTGGCCCCTTTACACCAGCTGGCAGCTCTGAGCGCGCACGCTGCACCGTCATGCATCACACATCATATCTCCTTACACACCTCGCGTGACGAATGCACCGTCTCTCTGGCCCGTCTGAACTCACTTAGGAGTAAGGAAGAAACGCTGACTTTGTTCTCAAAGAGAGAGGAAAATTGATAAAAGAGTGGTGTAAAATATAAAAGACCCAGTCAAAGAGATTTAATACCAAGCTGTACCCAAACTGCCCAGAAGTCCCTCTAGTAAAGTACTTCTGAACCCCAGACCAGGTAAATTGTAAACTGGTATTTTCATCAAGTGGAGCCCAACTGTTAACAGTGATTGGCCCAAGGCAACTTAGGGATACCGCCTCACAGTTTAGGAAAGCAGGGTGATGAGATATCCGTTCCTTCCCTGCAGAGCCAATGTGTTGCCCTACCCTTAACTACTCTGTGCAGTTTAGAGCTGGAATGTAGTGCATGGAGAGCACTCAGAGTGGCTACAAAGTCTCCAAATGGAGTGCTGCCTAAACTGCTTTTTCTAGTCATAATTTTAAGCGATTAGTCACTTTTCCGCAGCTACTTTTAGCTTCTGAACATGTTCTGGATGTAGCTTTAATTGGGTGAACCTCTGAAATGTGCTACCCGCCTTTAACTGTAGTCCAAACTCTATAGGTGCACCACAAAAAAAGAGCATCACAGTTACTCTGAAGTGGTTATATATAGAAACTATACAGGGCTTCATATAGTCCTGAAAAGTGTTACCACTTACGATGCTCTAAGTCAGCAGGGCCTTGCATTGTTTACAGTGCCACAGCAGGAATGCCTCGCTGGATAAAGCTGAGGTAAGAATAAGCACTGCACGAATCCCTACTGTACCAGACTACCCACTGACTAGGTTTCAGCAGTTTGCGCTTGGCCTGTGTGTATGTGTGTGTTTGAAGGAAAAAAGGTGGGTGGATGCACCAGGTGCCAATCCATGCAAAGAGAAAATGTGCCCAAAGTGTTGCAGGATTTCCACTGTCTGGAAAAAGCACAAATAAATACAACCATTCACAAGTGTCCTTTTCTATTTAGCATACAATCTGGATCGCACTAACATTATCATCCCATTAAGTACGAACAGTCTGTGTGTCACCTATTTGTTTTGTTTGCAATTAAACAGGATAAAACAGATGACTGTACAGACAAAGCCATGCACTTACACAGAAGCATACAGTCACACACTTTGTGGAGGAGAAAAAAAATGCAATCTGAAAAGAAAAACAAGAACTAAACAATACACCATCATGTTTTAATTTCACTTGTCGTTCGAATTGTTGGGCCACTGATGGTTGTCGGCATCAGTCATAAAACCATATTGCCTCAACAGATGCATGATGATGTACACAGATCATAATCATGCATTTATAGATCATACACGTGCTTTGGCAACACATGCGGAGCCAAATATGTGCAGCTGAATGTTTACACACCCCAAGAGAAGAGCATTGTTTAAATAAATGTATATACTCATATATTACACACTGAAAACGCATCTCTATACCATCTTTCTCCCTCTCACTCTCTCGTCTCTCTCCCTGTTTTCTTTCATGTGGGAGGCAGCAATGGGCACCCAGCCATGCCACATCAATATGCGTACTGGTGAAACGCTTCCCCTGCTTCCCCCACGTTGCAGTTGCCGAGGCCTGCAGCAGTTGAAGCGGCAGCTACTGTCACCGGATATGGCAGGTCATGTTAGCTAGTAGTTAGTTAAAGGAGGTTAGCGAGCTAGCACTCCCACTGAGGCAGGCCACAACCGGGCTGGCCTTGTCGCAGCAACCTGCCGTGGTGACAGCCCACTGACGCAGACAACGCCAGCCAGTGCCACCCTGAAGGCACCTTGGATTGCACCCAGGCAAGGTTCCCTGGGAGCCCGGGTTGCCATGGTGGCAGCCGAATTTGGGTCCAATAAACGTGAGGGGAACAGGCGGTGGACTGGGGAGGGGGACTTTGGGGTGGCAAGAAAGGGGACAGAGAGAAGGGGGGATTTCTGACTAAAAAAACAAACGAAAAAAAGCCTGTACCAGTCAGTGTAGAAAAACATATTAATGGAAGGACATTAAAATTAAATCATTCATCCCCCAAAAATAAGACAGACGGCAACAGAGAAACTGCGATACTGTGTGTGGTGGATGCTGCTGCTACCTACACAAAGGGTTTTTAACAGTCTCTTAACATTGTCAATGACAAGATGAAAGTACTGCATGTCTTCCGCTGCTCCGAGGTTGTAAATGAAAAGTATAAAGCTCAGCTGTCAGATCACTCAAGTTGCAAAGTGACAGATGCACTTCTCGCGTCTTACTGCACAAGGCCGCGACTATAAACAAGACGTGCTCTTAACAATTACAGGCAAGTTTAAAAGAGTTGCTGTTAACAGTCACACTCAAGTGTAACACAATTAAACATAAACCAAATAAAAGCTTTTAAAAGACGCCCCTCACTTGGCTTCCCGCTCCGCTCTTTCAATTACAATTCACTAAGTGGTTGGAGGTGACTTAACCCTGATCTTCGTGTTCATAAATTCATCTCCTCTTAATGAGAAAGTTTTCACAACAGAAATGCGCCATAGGACTTTTAGCAGTTAGTTTACACCTGGCTCCCTTGGCCGACGGGCCGACGAGCTGAATTATAAACAGCTGAAACAGAGAGTGAAGCATAACACCTTGCTGTGGCCAGTTCACCACGGTGTCCCTGAGACCCCAAAACTCTTCTCCTTCCAAACTCTGAATCTAAAAAAAGACGCCTGCTTGGCTCATAGTACTGTAAATCATGCAAAGTAGAGCATAGTGCTTGGTCTGGAAAAAATAACCATGTATAATGAGCAGACATATGCACATATGCACTCTCACACATATGCACGCCTGTGCTTACACACATAAACGTTGCCAAAAGAACCCCCCACCACCACCCACTACACTGCTTTGTACTAGACACACAAACACACACCGTCTTTAGTCCTTAATTCTAACCCCTGAAAACACCATCCTTTCCTGAATCCATGGTAGTGATAAAGAACAAACACACACACAAAAAACAAAACACTATCTCTGCCCCCACCTTACTCCACTCGCTGAGACTCTGTCCACTTTCCACCTGCTCTGCACACCCCTCCAAGCTCGCTCAAACTCAAACGTGAACACGCACACATAGACACACACACACACACACTAATGCCATTTCACTCCAAACTCATCCTGTTATCTAAACAAGCGCCGTCCTCTCGTCAGCGTCAGTGGGTTCCTTTTTCTGTCTCCTCAGAGAAAAGAGAGACTCTCCTGTTCACAGATGAATGGGGTCTTTTGATGAAGCGCCGAGCCTTGTTTACCGCCACTCGCATTTATTTACCGGCCTGTTTTTCAAGTCGTCATTGAGGGACACTCTACCAAAACACCCCCCGCGTCAACCACCTTTCCCCAACAAACCGCATCCTCATCCACCAGCCCCCTCATCCTCCCCTTAACTACACCCCCTATATGCTCAACATAAATACAAAATATACACACTATGCCTGCTCCCAATTCCATGTTGTTCCCTATCCCGTTTCATCCCGCTTTCTTCTCTACGTCTAGTGTCCTAGATCTGTGTCCAAACTGATTTGAAGCTTACTCGCTTACACAGACGCATGCCAAATTTGATTCTCTGCATTTTGCTGTGCTTCTCGGCTAGCTCACTTATTCACCCCCACCCCCCTCCACCCCACTTTCTGTCTTCTCTAAACTGCTCTCCTTCTCACGGTGTAACAAACATCAAATGAAGCCTTCATGAAGTTCTTTTTCCTCCAAACATCTAAGAGCGGCTTTTTCGGAAAGACGGACCATCTCAGTGTGATGATGTTTTAACCAGAAAATAATAACCAACCAAATTAAATAATGAGTTAAGCAAATATCATAAAGTGAAAGGACTACATTTATCCAGAAGGGAAACTAAACTGCAATCCAGCCTGACTGCATACACAAAAATACTTTGACTGACAAATAAACAAATGTAAAAATAAACTAAGGCATTACATACTAACCATAAAGAGTGTTGAAGGTTTTTCTGTAATTTGAAATATAAAAAAATGACTGGTGACAAAACATCTTTGGCCACTAAAAAAAAAAATCAAGGTTCAAAGCCTCCACATGTGTGATGGCCTGCTTTCATTAAAACTGAGAAAAATGGTCCTATTGAGTGCTAAAATGTTTGTGCTTACAAGTTATTTTACATTTTTTTGTAGCTGCAAATAGAAGTCCAGGGTGTTAATGAGGCTAGGGGAGGGTATTCATTGGAACCTTAAAGAGGAATAAAAGAAAAGCGGAACAAGCGAAGGAAAGAAAAGAGAAGAAAGAGGATCAGAGGGAGGAGGTTGGCAGGGAATATCATGAAAATTTGGCGTCTTCCATGCAGGGAGATAGCATCGTGCCAAAAGCGACCGCCGACACAACTCCTCTCACTTTCAACATTAGACTCCTTTGCCGTGTTAAATTCGCCCACATAATAATTTCATTATTCTTCAACCCACATGTGCAAAATAAAATGAAATAGATGATATTTTTATTTCTTTTTTCTAAATCGGTACTGACCCAACTTTTAATTCAACAAAACAAACTCAGCAAAACCGCTTCTCTTAAGAAAAATAACTATGCGGGGAAAAATTTAATAAAAACAACAGAAACATAAGTAATAGTGCCTTGGATTTGAAACACAGTACTGAGTTATAGTACTGCAATAGCACAGCAATATAGCACGCCTATTGCTGTGTGGCACTGAATACTGCCATTAGCCAGACTCAGCAGCCTTTGCCAGGGCCTCGCTGTGAGTGCAGCCCGGTGAATAAGCCGTGTTCCCTGGCTCTCCCTCCTTTCTGGCTGGCCTGTCTGAGATTGAGCATTGGCCATAGCGCTCTTTCTCCTGCTCCTTCTCCTCCTCTTCCTCCTCCTCTCTGTCTCTCTGAGGTCGGGAAACCCTCCTGAGTGGGTATATGGTTTTTGGGGACAGACACATTTCATGGTTGGCGCCGCTACAAAAGCCTGAAAAGAGACCCGGCACTGGGAAGACACAGTATTAATACAGACAATACCTCCCCCTCGCTGCTTCTGACTCTCTTTTTTCTCAATAACCTCTTTCTTTTCATCTCTTTTTCTTGCCCCCCCCCTTCTTTTTTTACACTTTAGTTTTTCTCCTAATAAAAAATGTTAAAAAGCCCACTCAGCTCAAGTAAAGAATGCAGTTTTTATCACTGCATGGCGTGGCTTAGCCTACACCCATTTTTATTTAACAAACGTTACTGTGTTTTAATGTGCAATTAAATCTCAACAGTAGGTATTAGACTAGGCTCGGCAGCGTGTGAAAACACTCGTCTTTTCTTTCAAATAAACAAAAAACTGCTAAGCATGTATTACATGCCAGTCCGAAGAGTAATTTAGGCGGAAAAATAGCAACAATGTGTTACATTATTAAATTAGTGAAAATAATAAAGATACATTTACTTTAATTTGCATAATGTATTTCAAGATATTATTTTGAACACATCACCACTGGGCCAAAATTTAAATTAAAGGTTAATTTAATTTGTGGAAATCTAAAATTGTGTAGTTGTAAATTTAAAATGAGCACTGCAATAAATTAAAATACTATAAGGAAAAAAAGATATGCACAATTAGTATCCAAAGAAATGTAAATTGTTTAATTTGAGACGTTTTTTCCCCTAATCATGAAAACCACAGAACGCTGAAAATTTCCTTTTGCTTTTCTGCTGCTCTACCTGCTTTGCGTTTACGCTGCAGTGCTTCTTCTCATGGGGAGCAGAAAAAAAGTCTGACAGCTGGGTTCATTCAAAAAGACACAGGGCATCTGAGAAAAACCAGTAAAAGAGCCAAATAGCACAAACTGTCTTATTTGTCTCCTCCACCATAGTGATGGCCTCCCAATTTCACTGGAATAATCTATTTACCGCATATCTCCGACACTGAAACTCTTCACACAAAAGGAAACAGATGCGGGTAGACCAGAATTGTTCATGGGTTTTACTCTCTCCCGAGTCAGGCACAGCCAAAGAAATGGAGGCTTATGATCGTTATGTAAAACCAAAAAAAGCGGAGAGCTTTTCTAGGACAAAAGGCACCGTATCAAGGAGCATGCCAGTTGTCACTGGTCAATTTAATGGGACACCAAACACAACAACATTGTCTTTGACTCGCCTTTCTCGTGTTTTTTTGTTTTTCTAATTTTCCCTCGAGTCAGCTTGTGTCATCATGGTCTCATGAGATAAATGCAGACCCTGCGGTTTTGGATCAATCTATGTGCGTCTGTGACACCCCAATGTTAGCCTCGCGTCTGTGTATGTGTGCGCGTGTTTTGGAACGAATGAGTACACAACAGGGCTTTGGCTAGACGGATAGCAATAGCTATCCAAATACACAGACTTTTTTCTGAAGCCAAGAATAGTGTGAGAAGACTCCCTCTCACTCGGCCTCTCTAATGTGACGGGGCTCTCCCTGCGTCTTAACCCTTTAGATTTGATACATAGCCACCTCAACGCGTCCCTGAGGCCAGACAGAAAGGCAGAGATGTGCAAAAGACCCGACTAAACGAGAGTCATCAGTAAACATTTGCTGATGCCAAAGCTGCTCTGCATGTGGAGAGCTTTTCTTAGCCGACGTGGGCCCTGTTCCCACCACACACACAACAGAAAAGCCTCAGACCTAACCGACCCCCCCTCCCGAGTGTCAAGATTTCATTTAATCAAAACTTCACTGCTGACGGCCATCCTAAGCTGTGCTTGCACACAAGGATAGTCCACTCAAACCTTGTGATGTCATGGGAGTCTGAGAGGAGATCCAGGAAGTAATTAACAACAGATTATTTTCACAGGGAAAAAACAACGAGCTATGGGGAAAAGAAGACCTGTGGAATCCATCAGAGTATTCCTTTAACTTTTAAGATGTCACAAACAATTCACGTGATTCCTGAGTGTCAGGATTCCTTTCTCTTTTTCTCTCCCTTTCCTGTTACTACATTTTTTCACCTTTTTTCCTCACACATTTAATTACCTTTTTCATCCCCATAAACTCTAGAGTTTTGCATAGTGATGAACGCAAGTAGGGTTTTATTTGTGAATCCTAGCTGTGGTCAGTGAATTGGCTGGGGGGCTGGCCACAACACTAAGGCTTCTCTGGGCTTTCTCACAGCAATGTCCAAGGCATGACTACTGCTATAGTGAGAGAGAGGCGGGATCTGGCACTACAGAGCGTGGAGTGTGGAGCGGTCATGGCAGAAATGGCACGGCGAGCACATTTCACACCTCCCTCAGAGTGACTGCAAATTTCCTGTACTGCACTTTTGATTGGAAACACATTTGAAACATCTTTTCATGATCTCACTTACGGCGTACAAAAGAAAAAGGGGAAAATAAATAATAAAACGATGGAAAAATGCTTTCCAAGCTATGACTAAGTGCATAGAGCTAACTTTGGACCTGACAAATGTTTTTTTTAATCTTCTATTTTTCCGACCTCGAATAAATCAGAAATGTGCTGAGTTTAATCTAAAACAGCCCAAAGATTATAAATCAAATAGTCCACTGAATACTGTGAGGAGGAGCAATAACTTCTCCTCAGATGGTGTACAGCTGCAGCCACCTATGCAGTAGTCAGAGTAACAGAAGTGAGAACTACATCCAGGCTAGTACGGTGAAGTACGTGTAAGCCTATCCAAAGCGCTCCATTCATGGGTTATCAACTGGACACTGGCAGTGTTCGGTGCTCTGGCAGACCCTTGGCACTTCCGGGCCAAGAGATCACTATCTCCATTATAATATACCAGTCACTCACTCTTAATAAACACTAAAAATACACTACTCACTGTACTGCACCACAGCCCCTCTTTCCCTCTCATCTATTTCTCTGCCAGCATTTCAGTTACAAAGTCATTCAGTTTCAAAGACATGTTGCTCTGTCTGCTTTTTTTTTTTTACTCTTTATCTGAGGTGCCTGAAAACAGGCGGAGAAGGTTTTGTATTGTGGCATCGTGGTTTGTTCTGTTACGGCTGCGGTGTGTTATGCTCTGTAACAGAGAGGATCTCAAAGGCTGGCTGGCTGCAGAACAGTCTGAGAAAGCCTGACGGCAAGCCCAGAGATTCCCCGTGGCAGCTTTTGCCACTCTGTCATAAACAAAACACAAGACGTCTTTCTCTTCTTCCCACACCAACGGGGCCCGGGTGCTGCCAAACAGAACAATCACTATTGTAGCCTCTTCTGCTTCCCAACGTGCTCTCTCTCCCTCACTCTCTCTCCGAGTCTCCTACAATATAAACAAAAGAGATCAGCGGAGGCTTTACCTCTGTGAGAGCAACAATGAAGGCGATGTTTAAGGAGACAAAACAAAAGTGTGCACGGGATCAAAGAGGAGCGAGGAAGACAGAGATGCTAAAGACCGACAAAATACAAACCAAACAAAAACAAACAATGAGCACATCTTGTCATTCACTGTGCAAGTGAGTGGAAAAGGAAAACACACAACCACACATCACTGTAACAGATGAGTGCAACAGAGAAACGGAAGGCCTTGATGCCCATTTCCTAAATGTGAGTTAAAAGCAAAGGAAAGACAAGTGTGCTGACCTCACGGAAAGTTTGCACTTGGTGTAGACCCCAAAGCAGCTCTCCAACAAGGACTTAAAGTGAAAATCGGCTCTTTGGAATAAGATAAAAGTGCTGAGGCACACTATTGTATAATTATATATTGTATTAGTCAGATAAGATAAGACAAAGTATCCAGTAAGCCGACATTATGAATGGGCAGCGCACTGGGAAGGGCCTCCAAGTAGTCACGTGTTTTACTATACTGTTGTAAAACTAAGTGCTGCGGTGATGAATACATGCCAAGAACCCGAAAATTGGACGGCTGACGTCATCAGTACAGGTAAAGGAAATTTAGTGCAATTCAATTACATTTGTGTGTACGGACACATCAGAACATCTGTAGCAACCTTTACACACTCGGTTTTAAACCCAAGCAGCTTCAATTACTTAAACTAATATACACAGAATTACACCATGAATAAAATATTTTCTGTTGTTCATTGGTGTGTTCCTTTATTCCTTTGTCCAGCATGCCATTTTGCTTTCTCCATGAATTTAAAATATTTGAAAGATTAAAAATAACCTCTTAAAATATGCGTGCCATTTGATTTAGTTTTCATTTTATGATTAAACTAATTTTGCAAAATTTACAAGGGGAGACATTTTCATTTGCGTAAAACAGAACTGACCCGAAATGCACCAGTATACCAATAAATCTTTATAAGAGACATTTTTTTCGTGATTAAATTTGATTATAAATTTAAAAAAAATACAATCAATTACATCTACAAAAACAAAAACCCAAACACTGTTGATATTCTCTCAGTATGCTCTAATATGTCCGCAACCTATGGTTTATTACCGCCACAGAGAGACCAACAAAGTGAAGCTGGAACTGCTGCCAGGGTTTGGCTCAGGCTGTGAGTTATTTGGCCTGGATTGATATTTTGCGTGTGTGTGTGTGTGTGTGTGTGTGTGTGTGTGTGTGTGTGTGTGTCTCAGAGAGAGAGAGCCTAAGGATCACCTATGATAGCATTTGGCTAGAGTAATGTTAATGCCCAGTGTAAGAGTTGTGCCTCGGCAGACACGAGCGCGCGCGTGTGTGTGTGTGTGTGTATTTGGACAGTGATTGGGATATGCTGTATATATATGTGCGGGTTGAGTCACTGTTTGAAATTTCCAGAAAATTCCAGCTGACATAATATTAGGTCATGAGTGTGTGTTTGTATATGTAGCCAGCAAATGGTTAAGCAGTGTGTATTTGAAAGATTTGGCTGTGAGATATATTATGTGTGTGTGTGTCTGCGTGTGTGTGGCTTCTCTGACAGTTTTTTTTTTTTTTTGCAATGTGGGGGGGAAAACTACAACACAGCCAGTGTTTTGGCTGTGTGTGTGAGGAGTATGCGCACTGGAGGCTATAGTGATGTTTGGCCGGGTGTGAGTGTGTGTATCCATGATGGTGGCTGCGATACAACAATGTTTGGCTGTATTAAACTGTATCTGTGATAGTCCTTGGCCGAACGTGTGTGCTGTGTGGGTGTGTGTACGCAATCGTGACTAAAACCGTGTTTGCCTTTACGTGTGAAAGTGCGCTGCAGAGATGACAGAGTTGTTTTTCTTTTCTTTTTTCCTTTTTTTTTAAAAAGAGTGTGTGTGTATCTTTATTTAGCTGTGTTTGTATGTGTGTGTATGGGTGTGAAGGTGGCTGCAATAGTACTGGCTGTCTTTGAGCATTGGCGTTTTGTGTGTGAGTGTGAGTTTGGCAGCCAGGTCCAACGTGGTGCTAACGTTCAGGCAGACGGTGAAGGCGGCAGCAGCCTGCGGCCTGAGAGCAGGAGGCTCACGGCTCTGTTCGCTTTCTCTCTCTCTCTCACACACATACACACACACATAAATACACAAGCACACACACAACCTGGGCTGCGGCCAAATGATGATTTCTGGCTACAATGGCCTTACCATGGCAGATATACCTCGACAGACTGTGTACAATACTATAAACAGTGACTCTTCTTTGTGCAAAATTCATTGCGCAAAAAACACAGAAATTTCATCTCATAAAAAAACAGTCACTCAAACACACACAGACACACACAAGCATGCAAATTCTTTCCTAGGAAAAAAACAAAACACACACACACACAAAATACATGCTCATATGAAGCCGCAAATGCCTCGCTCAGAATAATGAACGCTTACTTGCCAGAGCACGCTGGACGTATGCCCCTGACACACACTAACAAATTCTTTTTTATTACTGTTGATACTACGTTGTCATGTAAACAAACCCCAAGAAACAGATGAAGAAAAGAAAAATATTAAAAGAACAAAAACGTACCCGCTGTTTTCTGTGGGAACAAAAGCAAGCAGGGACTTTCACTTTGTTAATCTGAGAGATAAATCTTTACTTTATTATTTTTTTCTTACCTTTTAACTGCTTAGTTATTACTTTAACGTTCCCTCCGTAGTAGTAAAAAGGGTTTTATTATGTCTCTGAATATTTTTACTTTTACGTTATTCTTTTTATGTTTTTTGTCATTTTCTATATTTTACTATATTGCAAATTATAGTGTGTTGTGTTTCAAATTGTTAAAATGTTAGTGCGATCCTAAAAGCACACCGACATGATTACATGTGGTGAGTGTTTACGTGCTGGCATCCCTCTCAATTAGTGTCTGATGTCCAGTTTCTCACATACCTGGCGTGTGGACGAAGTAGGCCAGGTAGAGGTCCAGCTCCTTGACGGACACTCCGATGTGGTGTGGCTGGACGCACAGGCCAGGGTTGGTGCACTGCGGTGACTTGACCAGTCGTTCTCCGTCCGTGCTCTCCAAGGGGCTGCCCTTAAACAGGATGACCATCACCAGGTCCAGCCGCCACACCTTGTCAGCCTGGCGCAGGCAGTCGATGCGACGTATTTTGCCCTTCTGGTCGGGGTTGGACAGCACGCAGCAGGGGGGCTTTTTGCCCGTGATGGTGAGCACAAAGTCCTCACGGAACTCAGGCCGGATGTCCTTGCGGAGCTTGGCCAACAGGCGTGAAGCCCACTTCTGCTTGATCTCTGGCTTCTCTCCCAGCAGTTCATCCTTCACTGCACGCTCTTCCTCCTTGGACATGCGCTTCTCGTGCTTTTTGAAGTATTTACGCTTGCGGGCCTGCAGGTTGAACCAGGTGTAGGCGAAGGCGCGGACATGGGGCAGAAGGGCCTCGATGAAGGGGTGGAATTCATCCTGGATGAGGGAGGAAGATGGGGGGAGGGTGGATGAGGAGAGGGAGGAGGGGGGGAAGCAGGAGGAGGCATTGGAAAGAGAGGGGGAGAATGGGGGAGAGAAGGATGGGGAGAGAGGGAGAGGGGGTGAGGAGGGGAAGAGAGAGGAGAGGCAGTTAGCACCGGCGCGCAGCATGGAGGAGCGGCGCCTGCTCCGTGTGAGTGGAGGGAGAGAATGAGAGGCGCAGAGAGAGAGAGAGAGAGAGAGAGAGCATGGGAGAGAGAGAGAGCATGGGAGAGAGAGAGAGAGAGAGAGAGAGAGAGAGAGAGAGAGGGGGAGACGGAAAGATACCTTGCGCTCTCTAATACAGACACATCGCACCGAAGGACACACTTCACAAACCACTGAACAACACATCACTGAATGACTGAGGTAAGAGATGAGACAGAAAAAATATGAGACTTGTCTCCATGAGATATTTGTGTAAATGTTGTTTGTCTGGTTAAATATAAACAAATGTGCTAGTTATAAATAAAAAATAGTGCCATCCTAATCCATTACTAAACATAAACAGTATTATTCTCAAAAGCAGTATAGTAAGTATCAAAAAGTCAAGTAAAAACACAACATTTCTAAAACATAATCCAAACTGACCACGCGTATTATACAATGCTTAAAACACTAACATAATCAAGAAGAACGCACATGCCAAATTCTGATTAATAAAATTAAAGCCGTCTCGCTGAAAAGCCACAACATAAAATATTTGTCCATAAATAATACAACTGCGCCTGCACTCAAAAGTGCTTAACAGTAACGATCAAAAAATATTTGTGAATAAAACAAGAATTACATGGTAGTTACCATTTTGCTCTCTCATCATAAATTCACCCCGTCGATTGCAAAGAAACTTAAAATGCAGAGCCAGTACAATAACTGGATTGTAGAGTCAAAAAAGGCGCTGAAGTAATGCTGAAAACAAAAGAGTGAGGGGAAAAAAAAGAAGCAAAAAAAAGAAGCTGATAAACTGTCCAATAAAAGCAGCAGGGGGCAAAAAAGCTGAGAAAGAGGAGACAGGCCAGGGGGTGCAGTGTAATACCAGCACAAGAACACAGGAGGTACTGTAGCAAGAGCTGCAGGAGAGGTGCTGTGCAAGAGCAGAGCAGAAGGAGTGTAGAAAGTTTAGCAATCTCTGTGTCTAAAAGGATGAAAAAAAGGAGCTGGGTGTGCACAAATAAAATAAAACAGATAGTGCAGCAAAATAATAAAATTGTCAAAAATTAAAACAAGCTTCTTTCTTTGTTTGCAAAAACATGCAGAGAAAATATCTTGATGAAAAACAAAAATTAAAAAAAAATGGCTGGCAAAGCAGCGCGTGCTATTGGTTCAATTCTGATCTGCATAAGACTCACGCAGAGGGAGAGAGAGAGCTGGACAAGGGGGGTGCGGACAGAGGAGAAGAAGGGAAAAAAAAACAAAAACAAGAGGACCGAATCAATGTTGGAAGACTGTGCACGACCGCTGGCAAACCCGAGTGCAGCTTCTTTTTTCCCCCTCTTTCTCTCCAACTCTGTCTCTCTCTTTCTCTCTTCCTCTCCACTTTCCGTCTCTAACCATTGACTGAGTCTGTGCCAACACGCAGAGGGCCCACCTATTTGGCATCGAGTCTCAAACAGCCCAGCCAATACGCACGCTCAAAGCACTGAAAAGGAGGGAAGAGAGAGATGGCAGAGGGAGAAGCAAAGAGGTGGGGGTGTGGATGGTTGGTGGCTGGTAGTGGAGAGAGGGCGGGAGGGGGTGGATTGTGTGTGGTGCAGGCAGAAGGCACGTCATTAGCCAAACAGACAAGTTCCAATCTAGTGCAAAGGCAAAGTCCAGAGGATATTAATTTTACATGCATCCAGACAGCACCCGCCTCCTAAAGCTCCCCCCCCACACTTCTCCCTCCCTCACCACCTTCGTCACCAACATGGTCACAGCCATCCCAACAAACCAGCTCACTCTCTAACTGCACCCCCCACTCCTGAAACACCCCTCTCCCGCTCTCTCTCTCTTTCTCTCTCTCTCTGCTCGCGTTACACCACCTTGGCATGGGATGGCATGAGAAAACACAGACCCAAAATCCCACTAGACCCTGAGACCAGCAGCTGCTCCTGGATTTACCACACAAACAAAGAGAGGAGGGGGGAGAAAAAGACCCCCCTCCACCCCCCAAAACAAAAAATACCATCCAAAAACATGCTCTCCTGTTTCAAAATGCAGTCTTACATCCAAACTGGCCCCTTCGCCTCCTTTTTTTCCTTTTCCTGTTACTCCACTTTAATAGCTCCAGCACCATAGAAACAGAAACACATTAAAAGTTTCTGTTATCAAATTGGAGAGTTGTCTTGTTTGTGGGTGAGAAGCTGGATCTGATTGACAATGATGCCTCAAAATGCTGTGGTGGATGGGTTTATGCAAGTAGCCTATATAGCTTAAGCCTTATAAAACTATCAAAAACAGACTACACAGCTTCCTGTAATTGCAAAGTTGAGTCGAATGCATTCAGCTTTAGATATGCTGGTCTTTATAATAGTAAGGACAATAATATTTTCATTCTGCAGCCAGTTAATTGCCCATATTTTCATCGTGCTGCATTATGAATCCCACAATGACACATAATTGGGACTTAACAGCAGCAGAAAGTGAGGGAGCATGGGCCTGCGTAGCTGCTCTGGACAGCAAGTTGTCTCATCCTCATTGGCTGACTCACACGACCTCAGAGGTACAAGCTGTGCCCAGAGCACCAGGCGAGAAATATCTGACACAAAGGCTCCCACCGAGGGCCGATTCAACATAATCGGATGCATTTGTCAGAAAAATAATATCTCTGTGATGATTTGATGTGAAATACGTAAGGGCTGCTCCACTCCCTAGAAGTGCATTTAAATGTCATTCTCCCAATTTACAAAAAAGGAACACATTTACCCATTTACGCAGTCCAAATTACATGAATTAGTCCACAAGGCTCACAGGAATTACAGAGACATTGTCAAAACTGGAATCTTGACAGTGGGCAGCCATAAAAAGCTAACTTGTCATGTGGCAAAGTTGAGGGTCCGTTCATTTGATTGTGAGTTGAAGCCCCCTGCTGTGCAACGGGACAGGCTGTCTGTGTGAACGCCCTACAAAGGCCAGAGTCCTCTGGTTGGCTCCCAGGACCATCAGATTTAGCCTGGCCTGCTCCCTCTGTCAGCGTCTGACAGAGGAGCTGCAGCCTGGATGACTGGCTGGTCCACTGAATGGCTGACAAGCTGGCTGCCAGGTTGGCTGAAAGGCCGCATGACGGGCTGGGTGAATGACTGGTTGGCTACCCAGGTGGGTAGCTAGCTGGCTAGTTGGTTGCCTGGCTGGCTGGCTGACTGGCTGCTACTGTTGGGGGAGGAAGGGGGGTACAGACCCCATCTGGACCAGGCTGAGCCGGGCCGGGTGCCGATTGTTCGTGCTAGCATACGCCTGCCTCACACAGCCACGCTGAACACGTGAATAATGTGGGAATGAGAGAAGATGGTGGAGGCAAGAGAAAGAAAAAAAAAACAGGCAAATGGAACATGAGGAGATGGAATTAAATAGGATGTGTGTGTTTGTTTTTGTTTTTGAAGAATAATAACGGAGGTGTGTTTGCCACTTATTTGAAAAGACTGAAGGGATCTAGACTTTTTTAATGAATGGGCCACAGACAAAGAACAGGAGAGCTATGTGCCAAGCACTGCAGTTACTTCCTCAATATCATCACATTACTGACAAGCGAAATGATAACCAAGATTCATATCAGGGAAATGAAAACCAATCCATTGTCCGAAGCGACGTGTTTTCTTTAGCGGATGAGCCCTGAGACATTTTTTGAACAACATAACTCCTGTTAAATCTTCATACCGCAAAAACAGGATGAAAAACTGAAGGTATCCTATTACGAGATAAAATTTTATCTGTAACATTAAGCAAATAAACTGCAGATACTATGCAAAAAAACAATACCCCTACCAGCCCCCCCCCCCCCCCCCCCCCCTATAATCACTCTAAAAGAAACAAAAAAACCCTTTTAAAATCACTTAGTTAAATCTGCTACAGGGCCTCCTTCTTATGATCATAAACTGGACCAAATGCAAAATTATGCACAGCCATTGAGGTTTGTTCACAAATTGCAGTTAAAGAAAAAAAATCTTTTATTATTTTGGCTAAGAAATCAGTCTGTGTGGCACCCCGCTGTTTAATGTGTCCTTTTTTTGACATTTTCAAACCCGCAGCTCCTTCAGCTCATTAAGGAAGATTTCTCCTGTTTGCCCACAATTCTTCACGGCAGAAGAAACAGTGGCAGTTTTTCCAGGCCTGAGCCACGGCGCTCTGTAGGTATCTGCGCTGCAATAATGTAAGAGAGCGCTCCTCTTATCTCTGCATGCCATGCTCTGTCTTTCAGAAAATGACGACCTTTGTTCGGTCAGTCCGGGCGAGCCAATCTCCACTCACTCCGCTCCAGCCCTGACACGTTACAAACGCAGAGAGCAGCAGAGAAATGAAATCCAAACTCAGGTTTTATTGAGGCTTCAAGCACCAACAAACCTATAAAAAAATAAATAAATCACCGTGTTCAACAATTCGGAGAAAATTAACAAGAGCGCTCCGTTTGAGTTTACTCATTAAACCAGTTTGTCACGTAAGGCTGGCTCGGGGATTACTTTAACTGTTTAAATAGCAGGGGCTACGAAATGAGGCCAAAAATTGAATTAAAATAGCATTAAATTCGAGTCAACATTAAATCCTTTAAATGAGAAAAACCCCTCTGTGTGGCCTATCCTCCATCAGAAAAGGGCCTGCACCTCGTCTTCCTACATTTCCCAAAACACTATGAAAATTAATACTCTCACCTCTGAAACAACGAAGCCCACCATTTTCACCATCTTCAGAAAAAGAAAGGCAAAAAATGTTTAGCGTTTGGTTCTTGGCTGATAGCGCCCGTTAACCTCCACGACCGTCGTTCCCAG